TTTTGATATAGAAAAATTGTTGAGCTAGTCTTCCTGGATAATTAAGAAAAGGGTATGTTAGTATGTGAGTTAGAAGGGGTTTTTATAGCTCAGAGCAAAGGATAAACCCACCTCAAACAGAAGATGTTTTTACCAAGCAAAAAGATTTCACAGGCAAAAGACTGCCAATGTGGCAAGAAGAAAAAAGGTCTCAGAATTTTCCACTGAAGAAAACTGAAAAACAACTTCTAGCTTAAACTGTGACATACTAACTTTTTGTGATTGGAGAATAGTAACATGAATATGGTAATGTTAGTAGTTATGATAGGCTATAGGTAATAATAAAGGTATTGATTGGTTGCTATGTATTAAGATGCTCAGCAAAGAAAAGTGTATAATGCATTGTAACCAGAACTAGAGATGGCTTCAGACAAGCCTACAGCTGTGGGCTGGGCTCTTTCACCCATGACCCGTGAACTGCTGCATCATCTGGGTACAATAAACAGCATCTTGAGAGCCATCTGGAGTCCTGCATCCTCCTTTGGGCTCTTACACATCACAATCATCAGTCTCGTTTTACAGAACCGAGCAAGGGAGATGGAACAGCTTCAGCTCCTGGTACAGTTGAAGTGGTTTTGGTTCACCAATTTGAATTTTTTTGCTGTGAGATAGAATTAGGAGAAAGGCAAAGCAGGCTTAACTTTAAATGGTACAAAGAGAAACTTTATGACTGGAAACTATAAGAAAAAAAAAGATAATAAAACTTTAGACTACTTTTCCTTCCCCTACATGCTTCTTTTCTTTCACACTGAAAATGTACAGAAAGCAACTCACTCAGTTTACCATAGTAAGTTTTTAAAGTGGTCTTTCACTAGTTTACTTGGAAGAGGAGACTTCCCTCTTCAGTCTATGGAGATTTCTCCACAAGAAACAGTTTTCTTGTGGCTTTGATGTCACAGTGATCAGCTGCCCAAGAGAATGGAAATTTGATCACTATGATCACTGTGCAAAAATCCCTTCATCGACTAACAGTTTTTCCCATAACCATTATTGAGGACCATATCAACTGATGAGGCACACTTTATAACAGTTTAAACAAAAGCAGACGAAGCTCTCTTTGTTACAAAGTCTTTTAACAGCTCTCTAGCCAATAGCAGAATATTAAAAGCTGACAAGTGTTTGCTCAGGCCAATTAATAAAGCTGCAAGTGCATCTTGCTTTGAACGGTGCTTGCTTCTAATAGCTTATAACAATGGATAAAACTTCATTATTAAGCTTACACGTTTCTACTATCTTGTTTAACATCTTTTCCTGAGGCCTGTTTCTACACAGCTCACAGCCCTATTGATTCTTGTCCTTGCATCTTAATCTCAAGATGGAGAAATGCAAGAATGCTTTGCTTTCACACAGCTTTCTGAGGGTTTTATACCTTTTCTATTTCCCATACTCACTCTTTACAGTTTTTAAAAGTTTAAAACCATTTCCTTTTATACTTTATCATTACATTGGTTAAGTGCATATTCACACATATTCAAACATTCCTGAGAGTTTACATGTTCTGGGAATTCTGCTTGGTTTTAACCTTTGGCTTTTCTTCAAGCTATCCTGTAGATGAAATCAATGTATTTTATTTCTTCTTGAGGCTCTGTTCTGTTTGTTTGACACTTCCTGATAACCAGAGAGTCAGTAATAAATTTTTCTCGTGTCCTGGTTCTTTTCAGTGTTACCTTATTCACATAGGATATTCTACAATACAGTAAATCACCATTATCTGTTTCACAGTACTGAGTTATTCTTACCATTGTCAATTAGTTACAAAAGCATTAACCACTTCTGCAACAGTTAATACACAGCACATAATCTTTATTTCAATATTTTGCAAGACCCTAAACTATAATATATTTATTACACTAAAATACATAAACTACACAGGGCCAGAGTGTTGGCCACAAAGGTTGACAAATTATGTTCTATTATATCTAAAGCAGTTAAAAGTGATTACAAATTTTACTCTATCAAAATAATTTGCAAAAGTCAATATAAACTAGCAAAAGCCAATAGCAACATAATTATTTAAACAGATTCCACCACAGGTCACTGTCCAGCACTGCTTCATGGACAGCTTTCCTTGCAGCAGTGTAGATACCATTGGGAAAAGAAATTGCTGCCCTTTTTAGCTTTTTTACTGCAAGCTGGGTTGGCTTTTGAGGTGGAGCTCAAAGCTGTTACTGCACATTTATTTGGTATGACTGATTAAATTCAAAAAAATCCCCCAAACTTCCAAAAACATGGCAGAACAACGCCAGGATCATTTCTGCCAATTCATTAGGGGGTGTTATGTATGTGTGTAATCTTCAGAAGAAAATATTTTGAAACTGGACCCTAATTGGTTCCTGTGTTACTTGAGACCTCTTGCAAAGAGCATGCAGTTAGGAGCTGCAGAGGCTGGGTTAGGCTTTGCTGGCTTGAACACTTACATAACTGTTTACTGGGACACATTCTGCTGGATTAATGCTTCTCTCTGTGACCCTGTGTGGTGGTAAGAAGGAAAGCTTTTCATAAGGGTTATCTCTTGGAAATGCTTTGAGAACTTGTTCCCGTGTGGTATCTGCTTTCAGACATCAATTTAGTACCTAAAGGGCTAATTCTTCCCTTTTCCAAAAGAAAAGGAATTGAATTTTTTTCAGCAGCAGGCACATGTGACCTGAATCTTCCTTGGACATGACTGGATCATGGAGGGAGAAGTAGGAGCTTGAAGGATGTGAGTGGAGAGGTGGTGCTGGGTTGGTTGGAGAGGATTTGCTGGGTTCCCTCCCTTGTCCAGAGGGTTTGAGACTGCCCAGGTGAGGCTGTTCCAGCTTCCCTGGGGCTTTGGCTCAGCTGCTTGAGACACAGAAAAGCCCAAAGTGACAGAGCCTGCCTGCTGGAATTGCCTGCAGGGAGACTCAGTGATCTTTAGTGTCCTTTGAGAGGAAGTAGAGGATGGTCATGGGAGGAAGTGCAGTATTTTTTAAGTGCATTTTTTTTTTTGTGTTACCTATCTGTTTTGGAGTGGTTTGGTTTGTGGGTTTTGGTTAGGCTTGGCTGGGTGTTTTTGGCTTTAATTTGATATAAATCTTTTGAAAATGCCAACTCCTGAGTGCTCAGAGCTGGTGCTCACTCTGGGAGCTGTGGGAGCATTCCTAGCTTTCTGTTGCTCAGAAAATGCCATTCTGTCTTGTTCATAGACAAGTTTTATTTTCAAAAGATCAGACATATTCCCCTGATGTGTAGTTTTGAAGCATTTCTAAAATAATGAGACTCAGAAAATATTGACCCATTGGATTTAAACACATATGCTTTTGTTGAATTGCTTTCCAGCTGTTGTTTACAGTCCCTGGGATGTCTGTGCTACTTCAAAGGGCTCTTTGAAAAGAAATTAATTTAGAATAAAGCTTCATCTGTAGGCCTGAAGTTGACATCCAATGATCTTTGCTTCTCCTGGAGAATATTTAGGCACCTGTAAAAATTGAAAACAATTTATTTCTAAGTCAGGTTGTTTTGTTCATACAGACTTCAACTGTTCATTTATCATTTGTCCAAGGAAGAAACACTTCCTAAACTCCCTGTGACTTTTCTGTCCTCATGGACTGCATGGTCCCTGGAGAAGCACAGCTGTGGATCAGGTTTTGGATTACCAATTAACTGGGCTACCAATTAGCCAGGGAACTGCTTAACAATTCACTGCTGCAATGGCAGCCACACCGAGCAGAGTTTCAGAGAGAATCATCTCTCTTCTTATTCATTCAGGACTTCTCATTGGTGTGCAGGATGAATCTGAGAGTAAAATTAAGTTTATTACCTATGCACATGTCATCAGATAGAGCTTCAGGACTCAGAGCTGCCTTGTTAAGTCAGGGAAGTGAGCTGAGGGAAAAAGTAAATACAGGATGAAATTCCAGAAGGACACAAACAATTTCCTTCCTTGCATAATAGAACATGGTCAGATATTGAATGTAGCCAGTCTCTCGATGTCTGTGATTTGGTGCAGATTCTCCTTTCCTGTCCATCCTGCTGTGAAAACAAAAGGGTTCACAAATTCCCTGTAGCTGCTCATGCTGGGTGTTCCCCATCTGTGTGGGGTATCCTCCCACAGCAGTGCTGCCAAAAGCCTTGGTTGCTAAAGTTCTTGGAAAAATATTGGAATAAGCTGGATTTGGTTCCCAACTCTTCCATTTTAAAGATAGGCAGGCTTGGGTTTGCTGCTTTGTGGTTCTCTAAGAAATTGTTTTGATGGATTTTGTTGGAGTTTTAAATGTCTTGGGTTGAGTGAGGCTCACCAGACAAAAGTGAAAAGCAGTTTGAATTCCTGTTTCCTTCTCCAAGGCTGAGGGCTTTGATCTCCCTCTCAAGGAGGGCTTGAAGTGTCCTCAGCTGGTGCTGAATTCTCTTGGTGTGTTTGGGAAAATAGAAAATGCCCCATATGGAAATCCTATGGATTTTGTGCTTCAGCTTTTTTCTGTCTGTTCTTATCCATAATTATTGATATGTACTAATTTCTACATTTCATAATGTTTAATTTGAGCTTCTTTGAGATTGCATAAGAGATGTTGATCTACCTAGGTTTGTTCCTTATTGCCCTTCATGTTTTATTTGCATTGGAATAGTTTGGAATTGTGACACTTACTTCAGTTTCTTCAAGGAACTGTCACTTCTCCCTCAGTAATTTTCTTCTAAGAAATGTAGAAAATCCAAGTTGAGTTTGGTGAGGTGTTGTTCTGTCCCACTTCTGACCTTTGATGTCTGTTTATGCAGAAAGCTTTGTGTCATCTTGTGGCTGCTACAAGGCAGCTTTTTTCAGGCTTAAATTCCCAAAATTACAGCAAATCTTCAAAGCTATTTAGAAAGTCTTACATCCCCTCTGGTGGTGGTGGGTCAAGTGTAATACATGAGGGCTCTGGGTGTTAGGTACTTTTTTAATTACCTGAGAATTAAAAATAGTATTCTTAAGGAATTTATTTCACCTTCTAAGCCGAAAATTCCTTTCCGCATTACTTGAGCCGTACCCAGCCTCGGTGTGAGCTTTAGGAATCTCTGACTAAGACTTCAACTTGAAAAGATTTTTTTTTTTTTTTTCTTTCTCTTTATTTTCTTCCTCTTCTTCCCTTCCCCAGGGCAACAGCCATCCTGGCATACTTACCCCAGGAACTTCTAGGTACTTCGTGTTATGAATATTTTCATCAAGATGATATAGCACATCTTGCAGAATGTCACAGACAAGGTAAGGTATTAATAATTCAGGAAAGGAATTTTGTTGAAAATATCGGGAACAGTTGTGTTTTAAGGGAACCAAACAGACTTGAAAAGATTTGGGTATTGCTGTTTGCAAATGCTTTAGTCAAGAGCATTGTGCTGCATGTGCCAAGCACTGTGATTAGCTTAGACTTGCATGGATTTGTAGAGAATATTTGAGGTTCAGGATGGCTGAGGGGGATGAGGGAGGAATGGCATTTTTCTTGAGGGATGTGGGGAGGAATTAACTGGGTGTTCCCTGACAAGGGCTCTATTTATGTATGTAGGTATGTACACTTGACACAAATGACTTGTTTTCTGCCTGTCTTCAGTTTTGCAGACGAGAGAAAAAATTACAACTAACTGCTACAAGTTTAAAATAAAAGATGGCTCTTTTATTACGTTGCGGAGTCGCTGGTTCAGTTTCATGAACCCTTGGACCAAAGAAGTAGAATACATTGTCTCCACAAACACAGTTGTTTGGTAAGTGCTTTTCCCTCAGCAGGTGCCTGGGATTGCCCATTGCTTTGCCCTTTTCTCATGTGAGATTTGACCTAAATATGTGCACACCTTCTGTAAGACAAAAGGTGTCTTCTCCAGAAAACATCCTCTGGGGAGAGAGGGTTTAGTTTAACAATTGCAGTAATTTAATTTCTGGTTGTTAAAGCTTGCAGGAAGTAGAAATATTTTCTTTCTTTGGGAAAAGCTGAGGCTCAGTCTTCGTAGGAACTTAAGGAACGTGCATTTCTTTGCTTTGGCAGGCATTTCTCCCCCCTTTTCCTTTCTCTGGAGGTGACTTCTCAGCAGAATAATTACTGTAGAGGAGTTCTGTGCTGAGAGAAGCTGTTGGGGTCCTGCACTGCACCCTTTGAGGTGGAACAGGGTGGCTGATTTCTGTTGTTCACCCAGCCCTGGTGTCAGTCACAGGGATGACAACTGTCTCACACTGCTGAAACTCTGCCTGCATGACGTGGGTTTTAATCACTGACAGGGTTTTCTACCTCTCTGGGATTTTCTCTCACTGACTTTTCGAACCCTTGTCCTCCACAGCACCACGGTCCTGGAGAGCGGGGACGGGGCCTTTCCCCAGCTGGCAGCATCCCCACACAGCATGGACAGCGTGCTCCAGGCTGGAGAAGGTAACTCAGGGAGTCCCTCCCTGCCTGCCCTGGGGCTCCAGGCTGGAGAAGGTAACTCAGGGAGTCCCTCCCTGCCTGCCCTGGGGCTCCAGGCTGGAGAAGGTAACTCAGGGAGACCCTCCCTGCCTGCCCTGGGGCTCCAGGCTGGAGAAGGTAACTCAGGGAGACCCTCCCTGCCTGCCCTGGGGCTCCAGGCTGGAGAAGGTAACCCCTGTGCTCAGGGAGTCCCTCCCTGCCTGCCCTGGGAGCAGCTCATCGTGCCTGCACACATTTGCTGCCCTTCTGCACCAAGATTGGTTCCTTACCCTAAGGAAAATAAGGTTTAGCTTTGGGTCTGAGCCACACCTGCTGAGGGTTGCTGTTGGTAATGGATAAGCAATGCTGAGGCTTTTCCTGCCCTCTCAGTGTGGGCTTTTCTCTGCTTGGAGTATATCAGGCTCCTTCCTGACAACCTCCCAAGTGCTGTGCAAGTGTGAAATCACATTACAGGAACAGCTCCTAACTGGTCAGATCTCACTTCTCCCTCCACTTTTAGATTCCTGCAGTTACCTGCAGGGGCTTTATCTGCAGTCATCAGATACCTGGGGCTTATCCCATATTGAATGGAACATGCACTGGCAAGTTCTTCACAAAAAGCAGAGAACAAACATGTTTGGAGAAGAGCCTGTTTGGGCACAGAGTGGGGCAGGTCTAGCAAGGCCATCCTGTACCAGCTCTGGACAAGAGGTAGCACCAGATGCTGAATTCTGGAAGAGAACAGCCAGATTCTAAAAGAGTTGGGGTCTGTTCTGTCCCTGCTGGCACAGGGGGACATCTTGACACCCAGCACAGCTCAGTGCAAGCCAGAGCTTTTAATCCATTTGAAGGCACTCACCAGTTGGTGAACTGTCAATAAATCCAGTTCAGAAGGTCCTGCAGCTGCTCAGAGCCTGAACACATTTTCCCCGTGGAGAAGGTTTGCAAGCTTTTCTCTGACCTTAAAATTTCTGCTCATTTCAGGTGGCCCCAAAAGGACCCATCCCACTGTGCCTGGAATTCCAGGTGGAACAAGAGCTGGGGCAGGTAAAATAGGGAGGATGATTGCTGAAGAAATCATGGAGATTCACAGGTGAGAGAAAGTGGTGTGAAGTTAAGTTGTTTTATTATTGTTCTTTAGGAGGAGTTAGACTTCCTAAATTTCCTCAGAAAGAACAGTTTATTCAAGCTGAATAAGGAATGATCCAACTGTATTTCTCAGACAGCTACAGATTCCTGTTCAGCATCTCTGAGGTAGTCAGCCCCCACAGGGAAAGCATGAAGTTACAGCTTCCTGTTGCAAAAGACTGATACTGGCAATTTTTTTTGCAGTGGTGATGATGATGGCCTGTACCAGAAACAGGAGTTAAAAAGAGCAGCTACCTAGAAACAAATCCATTCCAGATTGTTCTTTTCTCAGTGACTTGAGGCTGTGAATGGCACAACCTCCAAATGCCAAAGCTGTTGAGTGTGTGCCAAAACAGCAATGTTTGTTTTCATGCAGTCCATTCACTCAGATGCTTTTGGAGTTGTTGGATGTGCACGATGAGCTTGTGCAGCTCCCCTGCAGCTCTTGGAGCAAGGACACAATGCTGGGGCCTTCCCATGGCAGTCAGGATGTGGGGCTGGGTCAGGGCAGGGTCACTGAGGTACTGTGGGGATCCACAGGTGCTTCTGTGTTCTCACCTGTGTGAGCAGCTGCTTTCAGTGGGTACCACTTCATTTCTGCTGGCTAAAAATCCCTGCTCCTCACGGGTTTCCTCTTGGGAACTGTGTTCTCTTTCCTTTGGAAGGGGTCTGACCCAGCAGATGTTTGGTGGTAGCAATTTAACCACACTGAGCTGCAGTCCAGGGACACATTCAGTTTGTTTCCCAGTTTTGTTCCTGCTGCAGGCAGGAGACTCCCTCCATCCTCACTTCAGGCAGCAGCAGACCTATCCCTAAGGCTTCCTTCCTCTCTGTAGGAATAGGAAAAAGAAGAAAAACATGGCTGGGCCAATACTTTGAAGCTTAACCATCCCTTTTAGTAGCTGTAAAGCATTTAATTAGCCCAAGTGAATGTAGTAGTGCAGTTACCACCCATGTTTGCATTTCAGTTCGGACCCTGGGTTAGTTCCAGTCCTTTTTCAGCAGCTGTTACTATTTTCCAAAGCTGCCTTCTGTTCAGCTTTCCCAGGGGAGCTCTGCCAAGGAGAAGATTCCCATTTCCATTGCTTTTCTCTGTAACTACCCCTCCTCCCTTCAGTCTGGAGATTTGTTGGTTCTACAGTCAATACATTATTCATTATTAATGATATTTGATCAAGCTGTGGAAAATGGAAGTGAACAATGCAGCTTTGAGCAGTTAAAAACAATCCAGTGTCCAGTGGACTTGTGCAGCAGGGGCTCACTGGAGGAGTCTGGGTTACTGTGACTGAGGCAGCTGGAACTCTTAGCTGGTGGAAATTGAGTAAAAGACTCAAAAATGAGGCTTTCCTTAGCAGCCAGGACCTTTTCCTTCTGACTCTGTAAAGGTTGTCCAGGATAAAAACAGGGAGGAGGTAAAGCTTGCAGACCCAGCAGGCTGGATTTACACAGGGCTGGGCTGGCTGCAAAGAACAGCAGTGCTGCTCCTGCTGCTGTGAGGAACACTGAGAATGGGAGATGACAAAGTGAAGCTCATGCTTTTAGTGCCTTTATGAAGTCAGCATTTAAAACTCCAGGTGTCTGAGTGGCTTGTAACCCTATGCCCTGTTTTATGCATGCTTCAGGATAAGGGGATCATCACCTTCCAGTTGTGGCTCAAGTCCCCTGAACATCACCAGCACCCCCCCGCCCGACACATCCTCGCCAGGAGGGAAGAAGGTAAGAAAAGCTTCCCCCAGGCCGGGGGCAGTCAGGGCAGGGGTTTGTGCTCAGGGAGCAGCTCCTGGCTGCTGGGCTGGAAAAGGGAGCAGCCAAAGCCCTGCTGTGGTCACAGCCCCTGTTCAGCACTGCCTGAAGGGCAGCGAGCAGCAGGTCCCAAACACCAGCAGTGTTGGACACTCCCTCGCCCTTTAGGTTGTATTTTTTTCAGCAGAGCTGCGGGGAACAGCTCTCCTCATCGGTCTCCACCCTCCAAAAACTCTCTGCCACCCCGTGCTGGTGAAGGCTGGAAATGCTGGCACTGGAGCACTGGCTGAATCCCGGCAGTGTTGCTGTGCTGCTGGAGCACAAACCAGGACAGTTCTGTGCTTGCCTGAGCACTGGGAGGTTTTTTTTAAGTCAACACCGTGCACCTGCCTTGCTCTGAGATTGCTTGAGTAGCACTCAGGTGCCATTACCAGCACTGAGCCACCTGAACTCTTGTCCTGGCTGCTTCCAGCAATCTCTAAATGCTTATGGAAGTTTTATCCAAAGAAAGAAGAACACTTATCCAGATCCTTATGCACTGCTTCAGACTTACTTAACTTTTTTTCTCAGAAATGATGACTTGCTTGTACTGGAACAGACAGTAAACATTTCTGTCTATTCCCAGCTCTCTTTGTTCCTGATACAAAACTTCAAGTTGGAACACAGTTACAATTCTAGTAATAATTATTCTTTCTTCTTCTGCCCTACACTATTCAATATGATAGCACAGAATTAGGGGCTGCTGGCAGGGTATAAAGGAAAATACAGCAGGTGCAGAGTTGGATGTTTTCAGCATTCCCTTGGTGTTTCTCCTTGTTTAGAAGATTGTTTGTTATAAACCACAGGGTTATTTTGGGAAGTCCATCTACCCTATATTAAAAATTCCACTATAGTACAGTTTAAGACTTAATGCACTATTTCATGCTGCTTTAGAGCTTCTGTTTTGTCTTTAAGATCTTGAATGGTGGCACTCCAGACATTTCTTCAGCTGGGCTGCTGTCGGGACAAATCCAGGATAATTCTGGGTACCCATATTCCGACAACTCCTCTATCCTGGGTAAGTGAAGTCACACAGGACACTGCACCAAGCTGGTTGGTTTTAGCAGTGACTCGCCTTTACCATCTGCAGGCACAAGAGCTCTGTGTGCCCAGAGAGGCACCTGGCAGCCTAGTCTGTAACCTTACCTTTACCTAAGGAAAGTGCCAGGGTAGTGCTTGGAAGCTCTTTTCTCTTGCCGAGTCAGTGTCAGTGTTGTGTGTGCAGTGTGGCACTGGGGGAGTCCCTGTGAGCAGTGACCCAGTGCCCCTGCTGTGCCCGCTGAGCTGAGCTGTGTTCCCTGCAGGGGAGAACTCCCACATCGGCATGGACATGATCGACACGGAGCAGGGCTCCAGCAGCCCCAGCAATGACGAGGCGGCCATGGCAGTGATCATGAGCCTGCTGGAGGCCGACGCGGGGCTCGGCGGCCCCGTGGACTTCAGCGACCTGCCCTGGCCCTTGTAAAGCACCCGGCACCCCAGATCCAAGTGCATTTACTGGTGGAGCTCTGCAGCCTGTGAAACTCGTGGGACTGAGAGGCTTTTATGTGGGAACTTCATAAAAGCTGTGTCAGAACGCAACTCATCCTACCATGTGTAACTTCAGACAAAGTGGAATAACCTGCTACAGTGTTCTGTGTTGATTTGGTTAGCTGTGTATAGCTTGCGATACTTGTATATTTTGGATTCTGTTGTTTGAAATTTTTTTTAAATCACTGTGCAACTCACTGGCATCAGTGGTAGCTTTTATATGCAAATGACCATTTCAGATGTATGGTGTGTTTTTACACTGCAAAACAGTCCCCATGTGGATATTTCTTATACTAATTGTACCATAAAGCTGTTTATTCTTTCTTGTAAGAATCCTTTACTATAAATATTGTTAAAGTGTAATGTATTAGACAGTTAAATATTTTTAAAATAAATGTTTCCCTTGTTCTAAGATGGAGCATTTACTTTGATAAATAAATTTGATAAAACCCTGCTGAAGGTGCATGCTAGAAGCACTTGGTATTTATCATTTCTTTAGCCTTGGGGGAAAAGGGAGGAAAGCCAGTGCCTTACCTATGCTGACACGACTTTGTCATGACAGTAAATTCCCAGAGAAGCTGTTGTTACTTACTCCTACATCCAGGTTTATCCTGAGAAAAGCACAACAGGCAGGTGCATTGAAATAGGCTGATTATCTTGAAGAAATACCTGTTTTTCACTTCATATATTAACCATCCTTCCCCTGAGGAAAGAAAAGCAACTACTCGCAAAATTCATAACTCGGAGATAATTCAAGCCCATTAAAATAATGGAAACTTTATTTGCATGAAAAACTTGTTTACAATCATTAATAAATGAAGAATGAACCATTTGCATTTTCCTATTCCATGACACTTATGAAAAATGTATTAAATAAATACTTGTGAACAGCTTAAGGTAAGGCAAAATTTAGGATAAAGCCCCTGTCCGTTGTTCACAATTTTTGAACATGGCTCACGCTGCAAACAAGTGAAAAAATTCACTAAAGAACTTGAACAAGATGTTACATGGGTCATTGAATCACGTCCTCAATCCAAAAACCCAAGAGTAAGTAGTTTTGTGCTCAACCATATACAATAACTTTAAAAGGGTCAATCTATTCAGAGCAAAACTATGTACAGTTAATACCTTTGATAGAAGCACTTTGTTAGTATTGTGCAATACATTTATAAAAAATGGCTTCAAATTCCACTTCTCAACCATTTGTAAAGTGCTACTATCAATTCCCACTCTGCTTCCAGGGCCGCGGAGCGGGGCCAGGCCAGCTCACGAGTCACCAACGTCACACACCTACTGGTAAACACAGACACGAACGTCACCGAGCCCAGCGCTGGAGCTGAGCTCCTCCCAGAGCAACCAGGCACCCCCGGGGCCCTGCCAGGCCCCTGCTGCAACATCCTAAACACCGGGACACAATGGAGAAACTGGCATTGCAGTGTGGCATGAGCTGAGAACAGTCACTGAGGGAGCATGCTTGTGTGGGGCAGCGCGATCAGAGCGGGGGGTTCTGGCCCTCGGCCTCCAGCTCGCTGCTGCTGGGGGCCGGGTGCATGGGCAGGATGTCCAGCTCGTCCACCTGCGGCGTGGGGTGCATCACCACCAGCTGGTCCTGCGGGATGTCGGCTGCTGCCGCCGCCAGGTTGGTGATGGATTTGCTCTTCACGCACTGGAAGTCGACGTGCCGGCTCTTCCCTTCCTCCTTCTCCCACGACATGCGGATGAACGGCCTCTGCACGTAGTTATAGATCACCTCGGGCCGCCCGCCCGGCCGCTTCTTCACCTTCTCCTTGTACGTGGGGTAACCTGGCAAAGGCAGGAGCACAGCCCCATCAGCACTCACTCATTGTACACAGCACAGCCCCAAATGCACTGCCTGCACACAGCACAGCCCCATCGGCACTCACTCATTGTACACAGCACAGCCCCATCAGCAGTGACTGTACACAGCACAGCCTCACAAGCACTGCCTGTACACAGCACAGCCTCACAAGCACTGCCTGTACACAGCACAGCATCCACTGGCTCTGCCAGTGCAAATGGTTTGCTGTGTTCAGTAACCTCTCCCCTGTGCCCCAACAATAATGTCCATTTTACATATTACTACAGGGCATCACCATCACAGTTTGGTGCCACAGCTGCTCCTTGTCAAACCAAGAAGTGCCATCAAAAATAACCTGCTACTAGCCAGCATTACAGGCAGGACTAGTTCTTGTTTAGCTAACAGGTCCCACCTTGTTCAGCTGAAATCAGTTATTTTAGAGCTTACCAGTTACAAGCAGTTGCTTTTTTCTTGGCAAATTACAAATGTAACTATGACAACTTGGCAAGTGAATGATAGAAATCCTGCTAATTATAAAGGCTGGATTCTAAAATATCTGGGTCAACAATCAGAAGAAAAATGTAATGCAAAGACACCCAGTTCTTACATTCACGATAAAAATCGGATTACTCAGTGCGATTTTACAGAGCAGCCTCCTAACTTAGATGATGTTTATTTCAGATCAGTATTTCTTGCACCTCACTGATCCACTGAATAGTTTTGTACTTCCTGAAAGAAAATATTTGCCTGCCACTAAACATGACATTTTTCATTTTACCCCTGGAATGGATACTAGGCCAAGAACACAATATCCAAAGCTGTACAAATGCACTGTTACTTCCAACAAAGCACAGAAATGTTGTGTGGAAACTAAAAGGCAAAGGGCATGAGATGCAAGTCATGAAGGCAGTAGGAAGCACCTAAACTGTGTGCACAGAGTCCAGCAGCCAGACACAGCTCAGACACCATTGTAGAGCCCACAATCAGGTTTTCTAGCTGGGCCTGTTGCTTGCTGGATACCAACCATTCCCCCTGTGGCCATTCTGTCACCCAGCCTCAGCAGGAAAGACAACTCAACCCCTTGTTTTTCCAGCCACAGAGAGAACCATAAAGCAGGCAAGTGCAGCAGAGCCTGAAGGCCAAAGAGGGAGAGTACAAGCACTGCTTCCCTTACCTTCAATGCCCAGTCGGATTTTCTTGAGCCCCCTTTCCTTCAGAACCGATTTGGCTACATCTCTGTTTTCAATGTATTTGAAGAATCTATACAACTTCGTGCTGTAAATAACTAAAAATACATTTTAATGAGAAAAAAGTCAAATAGTAACCTTCTAGCCTTAAAACACAAAAACTCATCTTTTCCACTGTTTTGCTTTACTCCAATATTTTTATTTCAGAAGAGGGGGAGAAACTCAAGAACTCTAGAGAAAACCAGCTGAAGATACTGGGGAATGGTTGGGTGTACATCTTGCAAGGAAGTATAGTCCATTTACAGGTGCTTAAACTTCTCATCCACACAACTGTAATACTCCAAAAATAGTAACATTATTTTTTTCCTCAAAAAAAACCTCTAGTTGTTCTCCCACAACATGACTCCTACCCATTTCTCTTGTCAAGCTCTTTCTGAAGAAGTGTTTCTTCCCCCTCACTGGCTGACAATACTTCAATAATAAAAATTAGTTTCTCTTTTTAATTACATTTGAACATAACAAGCAACATGTGCATCTATGAAACAAAATATTAAGCAGAACTACCCAAATTATTTCCGTACAACTTTAAATCAGCACATTCACTGCTACCTCTACCACGGTGTGGCTTGATGGGAACAACGAGGATAAACTTACTTTGTGAATACTCCTCTCCCATTTGGGGGGGATACTCTTCATCCCAGTCAACAACATCATCATCTGTCAGCACAACGATGTGGCATTCCCTCTCCCCACTTTGGGCACTGGCTACCATTAATGGCAGAATCATTTCTTCCAGGTAAAACTCAAATTGCTTGCGAGCACCATCATTTGACAATTCGTGCATGAGAGCACCTAGAAGAAAATTTTAAGCATAGGCACATTTGAGAGCTTGGTAAAGAGATGAAGGCAGCAATAAGAAAGAGCAGATCTGTCTGTCTTGTAGTATTACTGCAGACAGGCGTAGAGACATTCAGTCTATGAGCTTACATAAGTTCAGACCTTGTTTGAGTATTTATCAGCCTGTCCTGCAGATATTAACATGGTATTGAGCAGACAGGAGTGACTTTGAGACCTCCTTTACATTTTACTACTGCTAAACATTTGGTAATTGTGGAAGGATGTTCTTGGTTTTCCTAAAAGAACATCATTTAAGCCAGTTGCTGGGAGAGCAGAGTGCACAACCCACGTTTCATAAGCAGCAGCTTAAACCCAAAGCTTCTCAAAGCCCTCATGGCAGGAGCTGCTAAATCCCTGTAAGGACAGAGAGCTGGGGCATGTGGCAGGGTGGGTGGCCCTGCTGAGGAAGGCACTGGTGTCCTGCACAGCATTCCCAGCAGGAATGCCACAGGCTGGCCCTGCCCTGCACACACAGGGAGAGCACAGCAGCCAGAGGCACAGGCCAAGGCTCAGGGGTGAAGGAGCTGGAGAGAACAGCACAGGCTGGGAACCCTGGAGCAGCTCACTCCAGCAGTAAAGCTGTGCTACTGGCAGCAGGGAGACAGCCTGTTCTCCTAGGCAAGGAGCTGAAAGAATTATCCTCCCTGTCCTCTGCAAGAAAAGGGACCACTGAATGTTATTATATCTGTACTGCAAATGCAATCATAGAGTTAAGTATTCCACAGGGTGACCAGAGCACAGAATCAGACGCTGAAGTATCAGACATTATTTTTCAAAGAACATAAAGCCATTGGTTTTAGGGCTTTATTACATAAGAGATAAAAAGAGATAGATTTTATTCATGTAGTGCCAGCCATCTTCTTCATCTCAATAAAGGGCATGGTTTAGAATTAACACACACGCACTTAAGTCAATTTGTATAATTCAAGTTATTTTAATAAACTCTGTACTTACTCAGATCTCTGCATTTTATAGTACTATACTCAAAGGAGATACAGAGATAGTCACATGCTTCTCTGAGCTCAGGAATAGATATCCCATCAGGACAGCGTATCACCCCAGTCTTGTAGTAATCCTGCAGGATGCACCAAGAAAAAACACAATGCACGACATCCACCAACAGAAACATTTCATAATTTTATTCATGATACCTTCTCCACAAAGAAAGCCCCCAAAATGTAACAAATGTTAAACTTTGTCAATCTTCCCGTCCTCAAATTTATCAGTTTTCACAGCTGCATTCAGAGCAGTGAGTTCTGGTTAAAATTGTTATTTAAGTGATAACTACTAACACTGATAATTTTGCTGTCTTTTATCTATGTTTCAGTAAGCTCTTCTCATTCCAAGGCTGCTGACAAAGCCGTCCAGCAGCTCTACTTTCTTGTGTGGATATTAAATAAGAAGCTTGCTTTACTCCTGCTGGCTGGGAGAAATTAACTTTCAGTATTCTGCTTCATCTAATTTCAGCTCCAGAAGGGTGGAATATACCTGAATTTGGTGAACTAAATGCACATGAAAAAGTGAACTGATTGCTGGCAGCAGTCATTTTTTGTTTCTTTCATGTGTACTTTATCTCTCCCTGACTATCACATGTTCATGTCTAGGAAAAGGGGGTTCATATCAAGCATTTCCTCCCTCTACTAAGAAATATAAAGAGCAATATCTATGCCACCCACAGAATCTAGATATGCAATCTGGGTTAAACCAAGCAGTTTTACTTCCTAACAGTGCTTGTCCTCACAGTATTTGCCCCTAAGAACTCACCAGAATAGCACGAAATACAGTGGAGCCAATTCCTTCAGCAACTTCATATTCTCCTTTCTCATTGGGTCGTGTAAAGTTGTGTTCTCTGCCTGATCCAAACATCCTGCTCAAGAATGAAAGGAATTTGGGTTAGAATTCCCTACTACGGTTTTCTTGTTTGCAAATAGGAAAAATAAAATGCAAGAAATTGTACAGAAACTGCAGGGGAAAAGCAGTGCGTTCTGTTCAGCTGGGATTATGTTTTTCACTTCATGATCAGACGTGTCTTTTCTGACCACTCTTCAAGAAATAACATTTAGAAAAATGCAGTCTCACAGGATACAGGCTTAAGGCAAATGATACATTCTTATTATAGTTACTTTTACGTCCCAAACTGTTCGTGCTCAGTGTCCTGCAGACTGACATTGAGGGAAAGTGGGTTTATAAATAACCTGCGTGTTAGAGCGGTATTTCCGTATCTCTATTAACCGACTTTTCAATTAGCAGAAGATAAAATAAGCTTGTTCCTTGAACCAACCCCAAAGGGAGAATAACTCAGCATCACATATGCTCAAAAAATCCATTGCATTAGGCAGCACCACTTACTCTGAGGCTGGGCATGGGAAAAAAAACTATTTCATTGCTTTTTTTCAGCTGATACGCTTCCAGTTTGTCTGGATATTTACATGTATGCATGCATTGTGTAATATACAAGTGCTTTGAATCAATTATTTAATTCTATTGATTCTTACTTCCATTTATTTCCCTTCGACAGTTTAGACAGAAGAAATTCTTGCCTTCTCTGTGACTCACCCAACTTTTCACAAAACAGGAATCCTAGGTACTATTTATCCCACGCTGCAGTGATTTAAACATAGCAGAAATTGTTTAATCATATTTATTACCTGTGCTGTGGCAAAGAGGTTTATATAGGTGTATTTTAAATATGATTATATCCTTGTGTGCTGAGAATTCTCTCTTTTTTAATGAAAAAAGCCAAATCAAAAGTGATACAGACAAGCCTTTCTTTTCTTTCTTGATGCAAGATTTTAAGTGGTTCCCTCTGCATTTGGACAAGGCAAAACCAACCAGAATTTGAGCAAGTCAAGTACTGAATCTTTTCCCACCAAGAAAACATGTTAAATATGTTGCCCATTATAGTTTCTACAGAAAACATTACACACATATTGCAGGCTTGCATTCAAGTGTTGATCATTTAGAGCATTCAGCCTCTCTGATGAGTGGCTCAGGGCTGTTATACTGATTATTTGACATTTCAGAAGATAAGTGGGCTGAGCATGAACATTGTCAGGGTAGGCCCACGAAGCAAAATAAATTCCTTCAAGATTTTCCTCCTTGCTGTTTGAAAGAAACTGTCTACACTCACTATGCCACTGTGTTTTATGAAGCACCTAGCTTTAAAAACGAGGAAGAATGAGGCAGACTGAACACAGAAGCAATGCCCAGGAAGATAGAAAGAAATGGGAACTTCATGAAATGGTAATTTATTTATCAGCTGTCATCTCTAGGTAATAGACATCTCTTGGCTTCCCTGCCAAAACCAGAGAACTTGCATTTGATTTTTACTTAAAGACATTTGCCAACTGGTAATATTAAACATCAGCAAGATCAGCTGCAGCAATGAGTCCAACAGCTATTTAAACAGTTTAAGTACCCACAATGGATTTATGGCTTTCTATAACAGTTGGGGACTAAGGAAAAAAGAAACAAACCTGCCCAGCATTGTGTTAGGCTGTGCAGTGAAGATGGAGGGATCTACAACAAATCTGGTGTTGTCCACGATGAGCGTTACTCGCTCGGAAGTTCTGACGTTCCGAGCCCCCTCTTTGCCATTTTCATACACAAACACCATTTCCCCACCAGCCTTGCAGCTGCCATCTGAGCTGGACTGGCTGCTGTTCCTGCTGCTGGTGCCCATGCTGACAACAGAACCATTGGGGGATGTCTTCTGGGGCCGGGGGCTGCTGGGCCGGGATGAGCTGTGATCCTTCTCGCGATCTTCAATGGTGACAATGCAGGAGGAGAAAAAACAGGACATGAAATTAGAGATTTACCTGAGTTCTATACAGTTTGTGTCTTTCCAGGCACAAAACACATCCATTTGAGAAGTTAAGTATAAATTATTTTGGTTAAATCTATTCTGGTTAAAGAAACCTTCAAAAACAACTGCCGATTTATGAGATTCTGAAGTCTGCATCACCTACACATCAAATCCACCTCACCTTCCCCAAAAGTCTTTACAAAGAAAATTTACTACTCTACTACTGAGAAAGGAATTCAACATAAAACAGAAGCTATTGCATCACAGTTGGTGCGACAGCTCAAAGAAACAAACCATGTTTTGTCACTTAAAAAAAATCCCTATTTCCTCTATTTCCAGATATCTAGACCCTACACAGTAAAGGGGAAGTATTCAGTCAATTATCTTCAAAAAATTAGATTGTTCTTGTGATTTGAACTAAATAAGAGTATCATGTAGGAATAGACACTGCACTGAAAAAGAAGTTACAGCCTATCCAGGAAGGGTATTCCCAGCCCAGAGCACATGTAAGGAATCTGTATGTTGTGCCATCAATGACTAACACTTTTTATTGTATTCCTTTAACCAAACAGTACTCCAATTTAGAGAATTTTAATCCTGAAATGCAGAGATCTGCACACACCAGAGTGATACTGTCTTGTTGGTGAAGTGACATTCCTGATGCATGGAGTGAGCTGAGATTCTGCTCTTTCGTGGGACGAGTCACGAGATCTGTCACTGGATCTGCGCCTGTCCCTTGACCTCTCGTGTCCACCACTGGCACCATGGAGGCTCATTTTGGTGTAGTCTATGCCTTTAGCAACACGGGATGAGGTGCTGAAAAAAGAAATAAGTGACATGGTCAGCATTTCAAAACTTCACAGACATTATACATTTAAATTTTCAAGGCATTCACACACTCCAAGGACATGTTTCCAAGATTAGGATTTTCCAGCTCCATTTGCTTTGTTGTACTAATGTTTTTATTTACAAATAATTACTTGTTTGTAAATTAAGTAGACAGCAGGAATTACCTGTTAGCTGCTGTGTGATTTACAGAGACAGAACCTGATCAGCTGAGCCTGACTGTGAAGATGCACTCACACAAATCTCTTCCAGAACGGGTAGGTCAAATACAAATGAGCATTTTATTATGATTCTTACTGTTAAATGTTCTAATCAAAGAATGGAATTAGAAGTTAGGGGTCATTTTTTTCTAACCTGTTTTTGGCAAAACCTTCTCAGACCACAGGCTGACTTTACACTTTTCCTGCAACTTACCCATTGCAAAGGTAATCACTCTTAAAGGAGGGGATCCATTAAGACACACCAGCCAAAAGTTTGTCTCTGCACATTCTGTTTGGAATTTTCACTTATTCTTAAAAAGAACAATAGTAAGCCACCACAACCCAGGCAGCAAGTATGAACTATACCCTCAAAGCCATGACCAACCAGACTCTCAGTAACAAGTAGGATATTTGTTCCAAACCAGCAAATTTAATGTAATAGCTTAGGATGTTTTAGACTGTGATTAAATTACCTTACTCAATTTAAGATATCAATTACATTTTGCAATTATTAAACCAACCAACAAAACTAGTAACTTTTGAGATCCACAGCTCTCAGAAACTACCTAAAAATTAAAAATCAACTTGCAACAGCTGTTGTTGAATTTACCAAAAATCCTTATATCTTCTATTTATACCCTTTAAAAGAGACAAATTTATGTCTGGACAGCACAGACGCGTCTCTGTTCTTGCACCCCACTGGAATTCCTAAAGCAGTTCATTTGCTGTTTACCTTCCAAGTGTGAGACATCAGTCCTTATTTATGGATTTAACTGAAGAAATTCTCAAAGTCTCGGGTAGTGGATAACCCAGACAGACACCTGCAGAGCTACAAGGTGTGACAGACAAAGCAGAGTCATGATTTCCCAGAGGAACCTCAATGCCCCACTTGCTGGTAGCCTGCAGATCCCGTAAGTGCTACCAAGAGCCCTGAAACCACGACTGCAGGGATGCTATAGGAGAACACAGAGAGGTAACAACGACGGCCTGGCTAAGACAAGCACAACAAATATAAAAGCATTCACTGGACAAGCAGGTTGAGCAGCGTCCTCTTTTTAGGTTGCTTAGAAGAAGTAGTGACCAAAAAAAAAAAAAAAAAAAAAAAAAATCAAGGCTTTCCATTAGCATGAGATGTTGCAGTTTCAAGTTTCAGTGATTGATAGGAAGAGGAGCTTAACTGAGAACAAAAAGGCCGTGATAGATGAGTGCTCAGCACAGAGCTTCTCCCCGCCCTGCCTCAAGGAGGGCAGGATCTCCTGTCCACAAAGCACAAGTTTGGTGCAGAGGGAATCTACTGCAATCCTGTTTCCTGCCAAGCTTAAAATGTGCTGCAGTAAGAAATGCATCTTTGGGATGTGGAGTCAGCCAAAGGTCTATTGAACAAGGGAGAAGAACTGCAAGCCTTGCTTCTGGCTGAAAACACTCAGATTTACAGTACAAGAATAATGATCCAAGCACTTCCATTAAAAGGAAATTTCCTGAGGACTTCCAATGCAGTTCTGAAGGTATTAAGATTTATAACATTTCAGCATGGCTAACATGTCTCCTTACTTGTTTTACCTCTCGATTAGAGAAAGGTAAATTCTTTGTTTTTAAAATGAAATGTGCAAAAGCTTGCCAGAGTGAGATCTACAAACCTCCAAGAAAACAAAACAAAATCAACAATTTAGGAAAAAAATTTTGCACCTTTCCTTTGAGATAGATAGATACATACATAATATAACCATTTTAAGAGATACAAAATACCCCCATAAATTATTAGATACATGGATTATAGTCCCGAATTCAAGACTAAAGTCTAGCCCCAGTTTAAACATGACAATATTCATTACTACTACAGCTAAACTTCCAAAAAATGGTAATTTCTTTTTTTTTTAAAGAAGGTCTGTATCTCATCTGTGCATTTATATTTGCATGCTGTGGTATAATCAAGGGTGCCTCAAAAGGGGGTATGTATGTGTGGAGTACTCAAACACCTACATAGCAGTCTGGTGACAAAACATCTCTGTAAATCCCAATAAAGCCTCATGTGATCAGGCCTCTGTTGAAGCACAGCTTTGATCCTAGACCTGATAACATTTCCAACCATGCTGTGAGAAAACAGAGTTTTGCAGGTGTCACATTTTATAGTATCAAAATGCATGACTCACTGTTTCTCAGGCACTAAAGAGTTCTATTTGCTTTAAATAAGGGAAGCACGCTAGAAAATGAAACTGAACCACTGTAATGGGATGCAGGCTTATCACACGTTTTGGCAGAGCAAACACGAATTCCCCTTTAACAGAGAAGGCAATTAAAATGTGATTCTTAATCCAGCAAAGCATCTAAAGCCACATTAGCCTCCAAGCAGTGATTCAGAGTTCCCAGTGAAGCAGGGCAAACCCTGGTGAATGATGTCTTTGCAGGAGCTGATAAGAACAGGTGCTACAGGAAGCCACTGACTCAGCTGGCACCACGCGTCCTCCTGAGCCGTGCCCCAAGGAAGGGCATGTCAGGCACAGCTCTACCTCCCCAAATGGCAACTGGGGCTACTTCTGCTTTGGTGCCAGCAGCCAGCAAGCCTGGAGGAGAGGGGCAGTGCTCAGAGATGATCTATCCTACTCCTGCTGCCAGCCACGGCCATCCCTGCAGAGCCTGGGCCATCAGTTCAGCTCAGCACACCACATGGGGACAGGCAGAGGCTGCCCAGCTGGATGAGGCCACCACCCTTGAATAGTAAATCAACTTCTGAAACAGATAGATTAGTAAATAATTTCAAAGGGCTGTTCAAATTGCAGCTGGCCACAGCACTCATTTGCTTGCTCCTATGTTGCACCTTCCTCCTTTAAAGAAGTACAGATTAATGCTAACTGTGAGACCGATGCATCATCTATGAGCCACAAGATGCAAGCCAAAATTGCAAGATTTTTGAGAATTCAAGCAGTTTGGCTTGAGAAAGCACTGACTGAATCACGAATCTTCATTCATCTTAGTAACAGCCATCTAAAATGTCAATTTTAAATTTCATCACTGTTGAGTCACAGTTCACAAAAACTAGTTCTTTGAGCTGCTGGATATGTACCTGACAAACTTGAAGTTCCATGTGTTCAACAGCATGAGCACTCAGATAAATGCTATCCCTTCAATAAACTTTGCTCTACAATGAACAAGAACATTAACATGACTTTAAATGTGAACAAAGAGCAAATACAGAGGTGGAGCTTAGCCTGTCAGAAGAGAGGCACCGGCTTTTCCCTGTGATACCTCACTAGGAAAGTTGTGTCCCTGAGCTGCTCTACTGGTACTCTGAAAAAGGAGCTCATCTGTGGCCAGTACATATGAAAGAAGATCTGTGACTTTTATTTTCCTGTAAAGAGGCTTTAGAAGAAGTTGCAAGTATTCAAAGAAAAGGGAAGACATCAGAACTACCAAGTAATTTCGATTTATTTGATAGAAGGACTTGGTCACATCCTGTTTTCCCCCTCTAACAAAGCCAGTGGGACCAGCAGTTTGTTTCTGCAGGGAATGCACGAAGCCTCCACTGCACACCACCAATGTGAGGGACTATGTACAAACCTGGCCCCAGGGAGGAAGGCAAGACAAATTGGCATTCCCAGGGGAGTTCCACAGCCGTGTTGGTGCAGCTCCCTACCAACCCACACCAGCGGGTACAGGACTGACCAAAGCAGAGCCACCCCATTCGAGGAACAGGCAAACAGGAACTCCTGTGGTGCACAGGAGCACCACACAGACCAGACACAGCACCACGACTCCTCCAACAGCAGCCAAACACTGCAAGCTGCAGGTGCCAGGAAGCCATGGCTGCATTCACCCAAAATCTCAGCCACAGCACCCCGTGGAGCCAGCACAGAGCTGGCTTCAAGCCTCCAAGGAGAGAGCCGAAGCTACAACGGCCATCTCACCCTGAAGTGTTTGCAAAGTCAGCTTCCAATGGATTCCTCAGCTCATGACCACCAGCACCAACCCATAAGCAGAACTTTCTCCTGCGTGCTGAATGACACATTGCATTGAATATAAAAGCATAAGAGGAAAAATAACAAAGAAAATATCATTTTAAGCCTTCACCCCTTCATTCACTAAAGCTGGAAAAAGTCCTATATATGTAAGGCCATCTAGTACCCAAAAGTTTATGAAAGGGAAGAACATCTTGCTTTATCAATTACTTTCCTACAGGGAAAAAAGAAACAAACCCCATCAGATAAACAAACTCAAACCAAAACAAACCAAACAACATCATGAATATTCATGTATTTTGGCAATACTCACAAATTCAATACTCATTTTTCCCTGGCTCTAAAGGAACATTGGAACATGTGCACTACACCCATTCAAGAACTTTAAGTCAGCCACAGAAATTATTTTCCCCCCTCAGACAGGGATCAAGGACGCTCTGATTTTGTAAAGGAATGAGGCATTTTCTTTAAAAGCAGTTGCCTCATGAAGAAAACCAAATAAGCTCAAGGTTTTATTTAAGCAAATCTATTTAATATGATGTGAAGGAGAGAAAAAAAAGTACCATCGAAATGGCAACTTGTCATACTGGTAATGCTTCCTATTTTTGTAGTTAAGGGAAGAGCTGTTTTTAAAAAATGTAAATGCTCTTCAATTTAATGATGCTTTGGCGTCATCTGTGGAAGGAGAGCTTCAGTTTGTCTTTATACATAACAACAGATTGCTTTGAATATATTACTAATTATTACAAGAAGTCATTAGACCGAATTAATCCTACTGCCAAAACAATTAGCATGTATTCCAACATAAAAACTCCAT